TATTATAACAGCTCAGGGCTTCCCTCAGATGTGAAAGACCCATCATTAACACCTCTACTTTGTCCTGTCCCAAGAAAATTCTGTGGGGTTGCCAGCACCAAGTAATCAAGAAAGTTTCAGGAAAAAAAAGATTCATCTTTGTCATTACCACTAGTTTCAGGTGTGGGTTAGTTTTCCAAAGGCTGAGCATTGCTTCTGACTCTCTACTTGGTAAGTTAAGTTCACCATACTGACCAATATCTTGTGGGCTTTGTTGTCTTTCAGAATAGAGGGGTTTTACGTGAAAAAGTCTTACTGGCTTCTGTTCAGGTCAGTGTTTTCTAGGAATACTGCTCAGCAATTTGACCATCTTTTCCGCTAATTATATTGTAACACTTTCCAGTTCTGTTCCATTATGTAAATAAGTGTCTCCAACATAACTGAATAAATTGTGCTAGTTTAACCCCACTGAATTAATTTCTATCAGCTTCTGGCTATTACTTTTCCATCTCTATGTGTGTGTTGATTTGTAACGAGGAATTTGGGTTATTGAGTTTTCATCTACCTGTTCTGTGAGTTGGCATAGAACTGACAACTGCTGTTTGGGCAAGCGGGGTCAGTCCTTTGCTGCGACGAATTCTCACTCCGACTGCCTGGCAGCAGGCGAGCAGCCAAGGGAAGCAGGGTGTTTGGGCAGCGAACGAATTGCACAATTTTCTGCATCGCCCAAGGCTCCCTGCGGATTGCGGATTCTCAGCTGGAAGTAAAGAGAAGGTGCTCAAGAAGGTGATTTTTAACCATCAAGGAAAATGCCACTTCCTGGCAGCTGCCCGAAGTTTGCACCAGTGCAGGTTTTACCCCTTTTCCTCCGTTCTAGCAACATTTTAATCTGTGAAATACCACTGCCACTGCTGGCACGTCAAAGCAAAGGTTTGAGTTGTTTCTCACGACGGTAGGCTGAAAACCTGCCCTGCTGAAAACGTTTGGCCAGGCTGGCACTGTGTCTCTTTGTAAGGCTGCGTGTTAGATTCTACTCTGAGAGAGAACAAGTTTCCTTCGCAAGAATATGTCGTTTTTCCTAACGTTTATCTGATGGCTCCCTCTAGAGAGAGGAACAGAAATACCGACCTACTTCACATACTGAAGTTCTTGGCTTTGGTCACTTCTAGTCCCAGAAGTGTTTTTGTACACTCGCTCCCCGTTAGACTCCCTGCCTTTTCCATACCTTCTTTCTTTCATGGTCGAGATCGGTGCTGTTAGGATGCCTGCCAGAATACAGAATTTTCAAGTCATCTTACTTGCATTTCAAAATTATTTCCTGTAATCAGTCCCCGGTCTGCCCAAATGCACCCAGAACTACCTCTCCCAACAAAACAAGAGATGTAAGCCTGGTGGACAAACGGGGAAATACTCTGAGCTGAGCCAAGAGAGATCTGAAGGGTCCCACTGCCATTCAGAGTGATAACAGCTCATTTAAAAAGACAGTGGGTGGATGTTGATGAGCACTAATTTTAGATAAGTAGCATCTGGTGTCACGAGGAGAGCTTTATTTTTGCAGGGAGTGTGAGAGAGCGACACACACAGGGAATGGAAGAAGGGCACCGGCAGAAGGAACTTATGGATTAAACTGGTTTATAGCTGCCCTTCTCCACTGGAGTCAATGACCACCAGGTTGTTCTCTGAAAGAATAACTCCATGTTCACCCTCTGCTCACCGAGTTAAACATTGCTTAATGAAAACTAGTACTGCTTCTATTGCTATGGCTTTAAAAAATGCTCTGTTAATCAAAAAATACAATTAGTGATTGAATTGAAAATTGAAATGTCTGGCCCGGGGCTGTGTCCCACCAAATGAATTGTTTACATTGAGTTTTTCAGCACTGACTGAAGTCTGTTTATATTCAAGTCTATAGTAAAACTCCCCTCTCTGAGCCCAGACACAGCATGTTCAAGATCCCACCTGCACCTTGTTTAAGGGGAAGGGCTGTCCCTCCTTGCATCTTGTTCCCAGTGAGTGGAACAGTGAGTGTGGAGAGCCAGGACAGCACAAAAGCTGGCAGCTGTGTTGGTGCAAATGCAAGCAGTTGGTATTTGCAGCTTACTCCAGAATAGTGAGGTGTATATATGGGAATGCCCTGCTATTCAAAGGCAGAAAACAAACAATTGTTTATACCTTTAATCAACCACAGATTGTTTTGGTTTTTTACAAAGAATAAACATGGCCCAGAAATGAAATTTAGGAAAAGAGGAAATGCAGTTTACAAAATCGTCTGCTATCTGTTACATTGACGTCCTAAAATTTTCACCCAAGACAGAGAAACGTTTCAGTGGCCCCTGTGTCACTGCAGTGAGTCCCGCCGCACTGTTGATGGGCTGTGCCCTTCCATTAGGACATGGAGAAATGACTCTACACATAGTCTGTGGCGCTACATCTCTCTGTGCAAAATCCCCAAGAGCAAAAACCTTCTGAGTACATGAATTCACAAAATGAAGAAAAATGCAAAAGCTTTCAGAATGTGAAAAACAACTGAGGTCGGAGTCATATAAGCCTGAAAGCTGACACAAGAATTGTTGGGCTGAGCGTGGAAAGGGAAGGGCAGCCAGAACAGCTGCTGTACTTGTCATTCGGCTCCTATGAACCAGGTTGTACTGCTTTGCTCAGCAAGAATTTGCACCATCTTGTATTTCTGTTTTTCTCTTGCCCCTAAAAATTTTATAGGTGACACTAAACGTATTTCCAAGTCATTCCGGATTGCATTAACACAAAGCATCTCGCTGGCTTTACAGCCACACACCGTGTTTGCTCTTGTGGAAAAGGGCTGAAATAAAGCATCATTGGGACTGTAATACCAAAGTGTGTGAGACTTCGGATTTTGTTTCTAATCGCTATCCTGCGTTTTAATTCTTTTTCAATCAATCACAAGTGTCTTAAACCACACTGTAACCAAACTTTGATTAAAGCAGTTTTCATACCCTTGGCTTCATTTTTAAGCTGTGACTAAAAAGAAAAATACAGGTTATTCAAATACATCAGTACAGAATGTGGACTAAAATATATGTTACATATATATTATGCACTTTTGGTTATTTTTATGAACTATGTAAATACCCATCATTAAACTTTTCTTCTATACTGCAGAGCTGAGAAGCAACTTAAATACTAAAGTATGCAAATATCTTTCTTACATTTCTCTATCCAGTAGCTGCAAAGCTATTTACTATATATGCTTTCAGCCATGCTCTTATTTTCAGTAACTGTATTTAAGAGTCTGAACCATGTAAAATGTTAATACCAGACTCCTAGGAAATAAACATCTGTACAAGCTTTGCTGTTGTTTTCTTTCACTGTAGTGTGAGAAGGAGTTAAGTTTCTAAAATGAAGCAGCAGCTTGAATGCTGATCCAGCCTCTTCAGGAAGAGCCGTGACAGCCTGACGTGTCTCAGCCCTGCTTATCATGGGAAAACTTATTTCAGGGCCTCTCTGACAGTAAAGCCTTTATTTCCAAGGAGATGGACAATAGAAGTTTTTTCTAAATTGATACTTAATAGAGTGTCTCTGAATAATGAGTAAATACCATCAGCCAGTATGATATCTTTTGGGAAACTAAATTATGTAAAGCGGACATAATGAGCTCTCCTCTGCCTGTCAGCATGGCCTTTAGCTACTAGTCACTGCAGAGAGCTCAAGAATGCCTGTGTTATATTTGTGTCTAGGTCTTTTGTCCTACCACACTGGTCTACAGCCATGTGTAAAACAGTAGTGCAACTTTGTTGGGTTCTGTATGCAGTCTGCTATCAAACACACTCAGTTCAGGAGAAAATGTGTTACCACTATCGTTATTAATAGTCTTGGCTTTGCAGTAAATCTGAAATACGTAAGACAAAATGAATCCCACCTGAATGCCTTAGTCTGAGCTGGTTGTCTTCACCATCAGTAGAAAGATGTAGGAATGTAGGGGTTGTTTCTTAAACTAGATCCAGTAAATCACTGTGAAAAAGCCTCTTTTCTCTCTACTGATTTACAGTGAGAATCCCAATGAATAATTCAAACATCCACAGGTCAGGTAAGATGAATCCTATCCTCTGTGTCTGGAAATAAACAGTTCCAGGCAAAATACAACCCTCTCATCAGGAGGTGGACTTCTCTAAAACCTGTGCCCCCTCTGTGTTCCCTTCCCCCTCTTAATCCACCCATAATGATAAAGCAATTCCTTTGATCTTTCACAGAAATGGCAAGCACGTACGGCTTAGCATGTTATTTCTTTTCATGCCTAGAGTCATGCAGCCATTTCTCTGCTGGATCCAACCATCTCTGGGTGTGCTATGTGTTGAAACCTCCTACTTCGTGTCTTGACATAAACAGCATAATATTCAGCCCTGGCTGCATAAAGTAATGGGGAAGGCATTTGGCAATGTTCCTAAATTCTTGCTGTTTAAACATGAGGAAGCAGATCACTTCTGCATACCAGCATTGCTTTATAGAGACTGAATGCTGTGAGGAATCCTTCCATTTAAACTAAGCAGGCAATGCAAGAGAGAGTTTCTGCATTCCCAGTTATAGGTTTGAGCCCAGTCACCCTCACGCAGTGAAGGGAGCCACCAATCTGTCAAATACAGTAGTTAAACACTGTTTAAAACATTTACTACTTCTTTCCTGAAGTCTTTCATGAGGGCTACTGAAGGTACACTCCTCTGCATTTCTCTGTGCTGAGTGTTTTAAAAGATTTTGGATAACTTCACAAAGCCTTGGGTTTTATTTTAATGCCTCCCCATTTTTCTTCCAATTCGAAGAACACAACCTTACTGTGTCTTGAGACAGCAGGTGCATATTCACAATGGGCGAGAGTCTCAGCAGCAGAAAAAAAAAGTTGCAGGCACCACTCTCCCCCATGATGAGAACACCTGAACACAATTTATTTTTAATAGGCCTATGGCATCCTACTTCCCCTCAACAGCAGATGCACTACAGTACTGTTACTGTGTAATTAGAAGCTTTGTGGTTACGCTGTGTCAGTAGTGACACTAAGTTCCTGGAGAAGTGGATTTAAACTTCTGGGAGAACTCTTCCAGTACCTCCATTAGCTTCTCCTCATCCTCCGGTGGACTGTGGGTGCTTGCCAGGGGTAAGTGTGTAGGGACTGGTTGCCTGTCTGGAAGACAAAAAATAAAAAAATCCTTATGGGTGCATTTAACTACCTCTCCTAGCACAAAGGAGATTTTTCTGCTAGGCTCTATACTGCCCAAACATACCTCATGGTTTGAAGCCAGGAAACTTACCTTCTAGGTATCTGTAAACAATGTTAGTTAAGCATATCTTCCAAAACAGAAATTAAACTAATTTCATTTGTATTCTGGAACTAGAGTGATTGTCCTTTAGCACGATATGACTTAGACTGGGGAGCAAGACCTCGCTTGCAGCTAGGGACAGGATAGATAAAGAAAGGCCTTATTGGGGGGTTTACGCCTGCTCCCTGTCGCTAGCGTAACTCCTGTAGACAAAGACCAATAACTTGAGATTATTGCTGCAGGCAGAGGTTGCTTTTTCAGCATGAGACAGGGTTTTTCCTTGCCTCCTGGATAATGTTTCTAGCGCTACACTAATTCCCCAGCTGGGACTTCGTAGTTTGGATTATATCTTAAAATGCTTACTTTCACCCTTAAAAACAAATGGTTAAATTCTAATTGCTAAAGAATTTACGCTAGTTGCTCGATCGCGATAAGTAACATGTATCCAACATAAAGATGTCTGACCAGGTCTGCTCAATTTGATGCTTTGATTGGTTTTCCAAATCTCATACTCCTCGCTCACTCTTTGTAAATATAGCTATATCACCATCCATTCCAAGGGATTTTTCTCTCCAAAAACATGGTATCTAGAGCCTGGGAACCTTATGACAGTGCTCTCAGATGTCTATGAAGCGCTGGTGCAGCACTGTTAGTCTATTTTAATAAGTCCAACTTCCGCAGTAGCCAGCTGAGACTAAAAGAATGAGCTGTTGCAACACTGGGCAGCAGATCTTTCTGAAAACCTACCAGGCTGCCATCAGGCTTCCCAGGGGAGCAGAGATGTTTGCTCTCTTTAAGAGCAAATGTTGTAGCTGGCTGCACACACCACACAACCTCTGCTTATGGAAAACTGTGGAGAAAGAAACATGCACAGGAACATTCCCTTCTCCATCATTGAATATGAACTGCTTCCTACCTAACTGTAGTGCTTCTAGCAGCCTGTGCTAAAGTTTGGGAACTATGTGTGAAAGCCAAGTTCAGCATCATGGAGAAGATGCTTCTAGTCTTTGGAAAGCAAGACTCTGTCAAACATTTTTTATTTATTTTGGCAGATGCAGAGAATTCTGGTTGTACGAGTCATGTTCTCACTTCCCATTTTTTTTCCCTAAGGAAAAAACAATTTGTTGGCTTTGGTTTGCACTCAAAGGGAACAGAATAAAAGAGAATGGAGGAAATGGACGAAGGTGTGACTGATTCAGGAAATGGCCGTCTAGGACCAGAAAAGTAGGGCTTGTGGTAAAGTACTCCTGCACACAAAGCCCTTTACTGAAAGGGCCTGAAGAGGGCCCACTCGAAGCTGTGGCTTCCAAAGGGCAGCAGGAGAGAGAAATAACTAACTTCATCACTATTTGATAAGCATGGGACACGGACACAGGACTTCTCTTGCAGCCTTAAGAGCAGTCATGCCAAGACCAAAGCTCTCAAAAGTCTCAAGACCAAAGCTCTCAATTATCTATAGCTAAAGAGCCAAAGTGTGTTCCCTGTTTACTAAAGCTAGAGACAAAGGCCAAAGGCAAGACCCTGGTGGAATTATGATCTAGACCAAGAACAACAGCACAGAAGCATTAGGACCAGAAGAAGGTGATAGGAGTACAAAAAAGACAAAGCCTGGTTCTACAAAAAACACTGACCAGCTGGGATGTAGGGTTTCTGCATGCACTGCATGATGACATGAAAAAGGTCTGGTTAAATACCTATCAACCAACCCTGTGTGACTGTCTGGGAGGGGACAGAAGGGACAAAGTCTGAACTTCCTGCATGCTGTGCCAGAAATTCAGTGGATCAGGATTTGAGTGCAACATCCAACAAAAATACTGGGCTCCTGTAAGCAGTTACCCTGAGCTTTTCCTTTCTCCTGCTGGGCTGACCTGCATCACCATTAAGACATCTGTGCTTCCAGCTACTCTACTAAGATGCCTGTCATTTGCTTGGGAGGAAAGAAAGGCTCTGCCCTATTTTTCCATTCCCTATGCTTACAGTGCCAAAAATGCCACTGTGCTGAAATCTCTACCCAGCGTTAGAGAAAAGGGGGAGTTGGCAGTTCTAACTAGCATGGAACGGTAGGAAGAAGAGCCTGTCAAAGCAAAGCCAACCTCCAGTGCTCTGTGAGAAGGATGCTAGTTTCCCAGCACCATAAAAGATGCTGTTTGACTGCTGTGATTCACCCTCCCTTGGCACAGACCTGCATACAGCCATTTTCATTAAAGAAAACCCCAACCTCCCGAAACAAATGCTTTGAAGTCTCTATCAGCTACTTTAGAGGACAAAAGCAGGAACACAACAACTTAACATGGTCGTTCTCTGGTTGCACAATGCTCACTTGAACCATTAGTCTTGGAAAGATTTTGAGAAATACTTTACTCTTTGAACAACAGTTGCCTGGTCGAGCCTTCATCCCCTTCCGGGCCAGATGGGGATCCTACAGTTCAGGCAGCTTAGGGATCTCCACTGCTACGCCATGTAAGACACTGCCGCCTTACCTTGGAAGAACAAGCCGCTCGGTAACTTTGTTGCTTCAGATGATACTGCCAACCATACAACAGTATCAGCTCCCTGGGCCTCTGTGCGCAGAGTATTCTTCATCTTCTGATAGAAATCTGGCATTGATGATCTCACAGCTAGAAAGAATAACAATGGAATGGTGGCCTGCCATGCAAGGCTTTTTTGATAAAAAAAAAAAGAGCAGCTTAAAATTGCCATTGTGAGTGTAGGAAGAAGACCAGGCATCTCAGAGTTTATGAAAGAATTATTATTGCCCCATAGCTAGGGGTACGATGACTTGTGGTGGAATAGTGCTAAACTGCCAGATGATCCACCAGTTGTTTGTTTGCGTCAAATTACAGGGACAAAACTAGTAGGAGCTGAGAACAGGATCAGTGAGAGGTTCCTGAGCCAATTCTACTCTAAACTGCAAAGAAGTAAGACATGGGGAAACAGAAATACCAAAAACCAGGTATTCAAACAGGATTTTTAGCTCCTATTTTCTCACCAGTTTAAGGAAACCAATTGCAGCACTGTATTTAAAAACTGTATGGTGAACAGTACCTAAGCCAATGACATAATTAATGTTTAAACTCTGGTTTTCTTTTTATTTTCTCCAACAGGTGATGATTGAAGGCCCACTTCCTCCAACCCTGGGGGTTGGAGAGTCCTTGAACTTTAAGGTGGGATAACTTTATGGTTCATTAGGTTTGAAATCCACAAAGGATGTGCAAAAATAAATGTATCTTAACGAAAAAGAAATACTAGGATATTTAGTTGGAAAGGGCAGTTTTCAAGCATAACGTAGACAGAGTAAGTGCTTCTGTCATCAAAAGCAAATTTGGGAAACTGCATCCCTAGAAAAGACCTAGAGATTGGATTGCTAGTCTGCATCCCAAACTTGGGTATTAGGGGCTGGTAACATATTGCGGAACGCTGGCCCGCCTGCTGAGACACAGTCACCGAAGAACAGCTGCAGCTCAGACAAAGGGCTGTCTGGCCAAACACGCTGCTTCTCAACGGCAGTAAATGTTTAGAGGAAGAGCAGAAGAATAGGCCTTGCACAATGGGTGCGTGCTCCATTTTCCTATATGCCCTTGCAAATTCCCAATGTCTGCACGTTGGTACTCTCAGAGGCAAAAGCTCTTATCTGTATGTTTAACAGTCCCACTACAAATGTAGCTTAAAGGTTAGCTTAATGCGCTACAGCTCTGCTGTGCATTTGCGTGGGGCTGGAACCATTCATTGTCCATTATTATTCTCTGGCTATACACAGATAGCAGACACTGTGCAGAACAGCGCTACCAAGGGGCTACAAAACTACTTCAAGCACCAGTATGGAGCCAAGAAATCACTGCACATGTTGGAGAAATCTACCAGAAAGTCTCATTTCTCTTTGCTTTTAGACTAATCCTGAAAAGAAAAAAACATAGTCAAGAGTGTCAAGCCGATGTTACCTGGAGTGTCTGCCCAGCCAGGGTGCATAACAGAGAAATGGATGTTTCTGTGAGCTTTTGCCCACTGCTCTGTCAAGACAACTTGCTGTCTCTAGGATAGAGCAAAAAGAGCCAGACTAGCATCAAGTTCAATAGCCTATCCACCAAGTTATTTCCCAGGGAGACAAACTACACCAAATATGCTGTAAATACCAGGGCATTTATGTATAGCAGAAATATACCCTTGCTCACCCTCATTGGATTTATTGGATAATTTTGTCAGAGACCACCATGGTCATTGCAATCCATATCCTGGCCACAAGCTTACTTTTAAAGTGGTTACACTGCTTTTACTGACCACATCTACTTGCTGCAGACTGTAGGTGAGAACTAAGCAGGCAGAAAGGGTTTGTCAGCTAAAGACAGTTTTCCCTCTTGAGACTTAAATCAACTCAAGTGGAAGCCTAGCCATGCTTTCCGTACAAGATGGTATGCACTCATAAGTGCATGCCATCATACTCCTGAAGATTATAGCTCTGTATGGATTGGATGCACTGGGAAAGCAACAGTGAACAACAGGCTTTTTGCAAAGCAGATGGTATAAGCCGTCTAGCAAACAAGTGCTGGACTTTGTTTTGAAAACCATGGACTGTACCTTGTTTTGTGCATACACCATAGTTCCATCAAATGTCCCGTTTCCCGACTGCAAGTCAGATATGTTTAATTTTTGAACTAGCATGCCCCCCGAAGAGACAGTTATCTGTAATCAAATGAATGAAAAACAAATGAATGAAAAACAAAACCAGGAACTCCCCCACAATCGCACTCATGCATGTAATGTGGTCTTCAGGCCATCTTTTTAAGTCCCTAGGAGGAGGATTCCTCTGCATACTCTTTGCACTATGCTTGTGCTCATGTATGGAGCATACCTGGAGATGAGGTAGAAGACATAGAATTTTTTTTAGAAAGTGATTTTCATTTGAAGCGGTGTTGACTCCATCAGGGAACTTTGTGCTTCTTCCTTTTGAAAAGTAATTGGGAGAAAGAAAATAGCAGAATAGAACTATTTGTAGTTTATGTTTAGCATTTACAGAAGCTAATCAGAAAACAAGAGACACTCTACAAAACTTGGGAAATCTAATTTAAAAAATGTACCTGCTGTCCACTTTTACACCAAGACCTGCAAGGTTCTTTTAAGCCTATACTCCTGTTATAGGTATTTTGCACTATGCTGCGAGAGGTAACTTGCCCCTGCGAAAGTAAAAGGGGAAGTTTCCAAAGGAAGTGTTTTACAATGAAGGGTTGAGAGTAGCAGGCAGGAGCTTTGCCTTGTAGAAGGAGGTTGTTGTTAACAAAATCCAAGAGGATTCTAGAAATGCTTACAGCATTAAAACTAATCCTGCATTGCTAGCACAGTCAAAGGAATGCTGTCACAAACCAGAAGGTAAGAATAGTAAAACACCACTTTTCAATAGCATCACAAACTCACCACTCTGGCATCAGCTTCTTTTTCCAGGAGGGGCAGCAGGGCAGTTGTCAGAATATATGTACCTACAAGACAGACAGACACCGACATTAACTTTTCTTTTTAAAAAAGCTTTCTTCTCTCTCCATCTCCTATCACATCATCTGAACATCATATTTCATATCACATCACATCATATTTCTGAAACTTCATCTGAATTTACCCATTTTCTCGCTGCTTTACCTGCAATATGCCTATTCAACTTGTAGCGGTCTGCATTGCTGCATACTTCTCAAAAGGCACATCAGTTATTTTATAGACTTTTATGTTTATTGTACCTATAGAGCAAACTGATCACTACATTCCAGCCATGACTATGAAAGCAAAATGGCTCAGGTATGGATTTCCTCGTGGGTGAGGTGATGCCAGTGAAGAAATAGGGAATGCATTTCCACTCTACATGTGGCATATATACACATATCAATGCCGGGTCACAAACAAGAGAAGGAAACTGTGCTTCACACTTGTGTTTCTTAGGCCCTTGCGTATGCACTTAAGACTCATCCATTTTTACCTTCTCACTGTGAAATCACTCAGAGTACCCTGACACTTCTGATTTGTGTTGCACACAAAAACTGCCTCTTAAATCCCCAGCATGACTATTACAGATGATAAGGAGCCCTTGGGGGGAAAATACTAATGTTGCATGCCCAAGGCTGAGCTAAGATTACGTGGGGAAACTGAAGTGTGTCCTTCCCCACTTTAATCGTGTTCATTTAGCATAGATTTGTACACACCGCCCAAATATATTCCATTACAGCTGTTACCATGACCAGCAAAGTTTGTTATCCAAAACATCGTTCAACTGCTAGTGTGTTTGATTCAGACACACCTAGTGATATTCCACCCACTCAAGTGCAACACAGGGATTTTTGTTTGTTTTTATCTCTTCAGAGATACTTTTAAAATTTTTTCCCCTTTAAACTGTATTTTAAAAAAAATGTTTAATTCAAAATGAATCTAGCCCTATTTAGTCTAGTGTTTCTTCATTGAGTATAACACTTCCCTCTTGTCTCTTCACAAATGGCTCTAGTTCAACAATTCTATGTTAGCAATAAATAAATGTATTTTTTTCCATGAGCTACTGAGGCCATGTTTTTCACTAGACATGAAGACTTCAGCATGTGTCTTTATAACCTCTCTTCCACAGAGGCAATGAGATCACCCAGTTAAAATACAGCATGTTTATAAATATGCTACCAAAATCAAACATGCTACATGCTTGGTGAACAAACTGTTCATTTCCCCCATCAGTCACAGCAGTCTTCATTTTCTCTATATAATCAGAGGGGCATCCATATGCACACAATATATTTAAAACCCTGGCAAACCAAACAAAGCGAATGCACAGCAGATGAGTAAATGCAGCCTGTCTTCAGCAGAAAATGCAAGCAAAAGCAGTTGCCAGTGAATAACGAGAGCCCATATGTCTCCCCTGGTAGTAGTGGGGAGACTGAACGATGACATCATTAGGACAAGAACTACCGTAGATTATCATGGGAGACTGCCACGATGTTTTTAAAAAAAAAAAAAAAAAAATCACTTCAGTACAAGCTGAGAGCCTGGATTAAATTTTGATTTGCTATGGATTCTTCAAATGCAAAGTAACATCATGTCTTGGTTAAATACGCTGCATTTCCGAAAGGCAGAGCTGCAATGCAATGCAAGCTATGAGGATGCTTGATTTTACTGTCCTGCAGATTAATTTACGCTTTTAAGGGGCTTCACATTGGTTTGTTAATTCTAAAGGGATGCAAAGATGAATGCATTAACATTGCCTTATTAACAACTGGGGTTTGTTTTCTTTTCCAGCTGGATGAGAGAAATGTTCAATGCCAAAAAGCCTGCTTATAGCAACTACAGCTTGTCAGAAGTTTATGTGCTTATTTAAAATCACAAACTAACTGCAAAGCCAGTGTCTCCTCTCTTCCTCAAGTTTATTAAGAATTCAGTAAATCCCACAGAGCCAAAGCATTCAATCTTTTTGCCCCACAAAACCACTTGCTCATTTGCTTTGAGACAGAGCACAAGAAGACCAGTTTTGACCCCAGCTTCCTACAGTAAGCACTAGTATCTCAAAACACACACAGATGCGACACATCAGGCATTAAGACTGAAGCATTTCATTTCTCCCACTACTAAATACTTCACGAACTATTGTCCCCGGTTAAGTGTTCAAACACAAACTCCTTAGTACTTTAACAAATATACTTGGATATTATAAGTTTTTATTTGCATGGGCTGGCCTGTCAGGCAAAACAGCCTGGACAAGAAATTTAGTACAATAATAGTAGACTAGATATACCTTATTAATGAGGTATATTGTCTGGAATACATCATCATCAATTGAAACCTCCACATTTTTATTCATGTAAAAGCTGGCATGTAGTTTGATAGTACGTTCAAAGAAATAGGAACAATGCTATGTACAGCCAGCCTGGAGGCCTGGCACAGCCATGTGCATCATGGCGTGTATTTTGCCAAGCACAGCTGTATTGCAGCATGCAGTAATACAGAAATGAATTTCTAAGTAAAAGGGGGAAGCCGCAAATAAATGCGTTGCCTGCCACAGTCCTTATAAAAACATGAATTGCATTAACAGTATAAAAACAAAAAAGGAAAACGTTCTTATTTTTAGTAAAAAGAAAACTTTGCAAGGAAAACCAAGACCGATTTGGTAGAAGAAACTACATTCCCCTCTCCCCCACTTAAGGAAAGCAAGACAACATCCAAATTGTATATCCTTTTGCTAATAATTGATTATTAATATCAAGGTACTGAACATCTGCCTTTCCAAAATGAACACTTCAGCATTCTAGTACGTTTCCTTGACACAAAAATAATTTTTGTCCGTTAAAGGAGAAGCCTCCTCCCACAGAGCTTAGTTAAAAATGGTAAAGCATATAAAATGTGATTAATGCTTAATTATCACTGTGTTCAAACTGTACAGATTTTTTTGAGGGTTGTTTTTTTTTTTAATTGTTTAAAAGACCAAGAGAGAACACAGAGGTGCATGGAGGGAAAGGCGATGATGAACAGTGATGTGCCTTGTACTGAAAGCATTAAACATTGGGTATCTTGGTGATCCTGCCCCTCCTCTGAGAGGACCTTTGGGATTCTGCCAGAAACAAAGGAAGACCTTTGTTCCCCAGAAAACAAGAACTGCCCCTACTCCTGGGGGATTCTGGAGAAAGCGTGTCCTTGTCTCAAGCAGATACTCTGTAACTGGAGATGCTCAGCCTTGAGGCCACCACGTTTCCCGGTGCCTGCTCCCCAGCTGTTGTATCCACGACAGAGAAGGAACCGAGAGCCCTCTGGGACACATGGCAACTGGGAGCGGGATGCTTCTGTCTGAGGAGTTCTCCTGGACTATGGCCCACTTCTTGCACAAGTCTGAGTGCCTGTGGAAAAGAGCAGGCTACTTTGAATTACTCACACAGTGGAAACTTGAGCAGCAGCCTCTCTTTCTCACACACATCTCAGACCCAGCAGGCAGGGAGCTATGAGTACACCTAAAAGGCAGTGCTGGACATATGGCTGTGCTACCTATATTTATGACTGTGTGACAGAGGTCAGACTGTTATACATCAGCTTCTGCTGCTATTGGAAGGTATATTGTCTACATGGCCTGAAAGCTTGGCTCCCACTAGTGTAAAGGTAGGAAAAAAAAAAAAGAAACATTTTTGCAGCGAAACAGTATACACCACTTCCCTTTGAAAAGGAGTATTTGCTGTGCCACAAAGGAGTCCAGCAGGATGAATTTCGGAGCTTGCTCAGAAGCAGGAGGAATGCAGAAGGGGGTGAGTAAGCATCCAGTCCATCACCCACACATACAGGATTCCATCTTGCCCTCACTGAACTCTGCTGAGTTCTCTGCTGAGACTAGAGAAACCTACTGGACAAGCTACATCCCTGTACCATGTAATGAGGTTTGACACAGTACTTGCTGGCCATGTTTTCTCCAGTTAAAGAGGCTCCTGGGATTGCTGCACGATTTCTTTTAAAGATAAACATCCTCTCAACATTTGCTTTTCTTTGGAAAAATTCCTGTAAGTTTTATGTCTTGAAGTTGAGCTCACATAATAGGAAGTCATGTATAATACAGTGTAATTAAAACCTTCCTGTAAGGATACAGCAACTCCACCATTACACACCACTCAACCAACTCTATCAGGCAGATTAGACAGTGTGGGTTGTCAGTCTGTGCATTACACATGGCAATTCCAGTAAATGCAACGAGCATGGCACTTAATGAGAACACACTTTCTTCATATACACTCCCTCCCAAGCGCTCATCACAGTAATGTTTAAGTTTCATGTTTACTTGCTCAAAAAAAAAAAAAAAAAAAAAATTGAATCACCATGCATTCCCTTGTGGCCTGTTCAGTAATTGCTCTACTTGCTCTGAGATCTTCTCAATTTAGTTGAGTAACCTGATATTGTGTTCTAATTAACAACTCCCGTTTTTGACTCCATACAGTGAACTCCTCCGTCAACCTGTATGAGCAGTAATTCAGTGGTTTCACAATCACAGAGTGAAACTTTAATGATGCAAGTGTAGAAAATGAGGAGCTGATAGGGAGATAAACATTCAATTCATACACTAAGTTGTTTTAAAAAAAAAAAACAAACAGAACTACAAAAATCAGCCTGTCTGCTTCATAAACTCCTAAATAAAATTAGGCTACCTTTCACATGACCTAAAGTGGAAGCTGAGGGGACTTTATGGAGGACACTATTGTTAGGTCTTGCGGGAAGGTAGCTCTGCACGTTCTTGCAACAGTTAGTTCACCATGGATCTCACCATCTCTACCACAGCATAACCAAAGTGAAAGCTATCCCCTTGCAAGGGACAAAAGTCTACAGTGTATTACACACTGGTCTTTCCCACAGAAGGCTACAAATCTTTCTGTACTAGAATGTGAAACTAAGCAAAACACAGAATAGCCCTAACAGAAAACAAACAATACCGTCAATGCAGATTTCCAAAATGCTGGTGTTGTAACTCAGCTTTAGCTTGCTAAAA